CGCTTCACCTCCCGCCCACCTTCGAGGAGAAGGAGGACAGAACCGCAAGGCGGGGAGGGCCCCAGAGGCTGCCCCCTCCCCGTCACCTTCCCTGCCCTGTTTCCCCCCCCCTCCCGCTGGCCTCCTCGTTACAGCCGGGTTCCCTGACCCACGACGGGGCCTTTCTTGCAGGCCCAAGAACTCGAAGCAGCCGGAGCGGGAGGAGAAGCGGGTCCTTGGCCTGGTGTTACTCCGAGGAGAGAACCTGGTGTCCATGACGGTTGAGGGGCCGCCCCCGAAAGATGTAAGCCTTCTTGCTTGTGAGGAGAGCCTCTTTAGATCTGCTAGCCAGCAGCCGGGTTCCCTGACCCACGACGGGGCCTTTCTTGCAGGCCCAAGAACTCGAAGCAGCCGGAGCGGGAGGAGAAGCGGGTCCTTGGCCTGGTGTTACTCCGAGGAGAGAACCTGGTGTCCATGACGGTTGAGGGGCCGCCCCCGAAAGATGTAAGCCTTCTTGCTTGTGAGGAGAGCCTCTTTAGATCTGCTAGCCAGGATGAATTGTTGTAAGGTATTGCCAGGCACGTAGCCGTAGTTGTAAAACCAAATGAGGCTGTGCAGGTCAAGCAGGTGCACCTGCAGCATCTATAGTAGCCGGGCTCAACCTGCTTCTGTACAGAAGATCGTTAAGGGGCAAGTGTAGCTGCGTGGCAGAAGAGAAGGGGAAAATTCGTTGGAACAGAACTAGCTGAGTGTGACAAAGCCTTTTGTCAAGCTCCCCAGGAACTTAAGCTCACTGACGCTGCTCTTTGCTTTTCTTAGACAGGCATTGCTCGTGTCCCCCTGGCTGGAGCAGCGGGAGGCCCTGGTGTTGGCCGAGCTGCTGGGAGAGGCGTCCCGGCAGGAGCACCCATGCCTCAGGCCCCTGCGGGCTTGGCAGGTCCTGTGCGTGGGGTTGGTGGACCCTCACAGCAAGTAAGTGGCAGCCCTGTCCTGTTGGAGACAGACTCGGGCTGGGTCTGGTGCCGCACCAGCCAACATTCACCTCATCGCTCGGGGCATGTTGCGTCCCCTCCTTCATCTTGCGATGTATGTGCCTTGTGTTGTATGTGCCTGGGAGCAGGAGTGGCCTTGCCTGTGGCCTATCTCTACAGCCTTTCCTCCCTTCCTTTCTCCTAGGTGATGACCCCTCAGAGTCGAGGGACAGTGGCTGCAGCCGCCGCTGCAGCTACGGCGAGCATTGCAGGAGCTCCCACCCAATACGCACCAGGCCGTGGAGGTCCTCCTCCGCCCATGGGCAGGGGTACCCCACCCCCAGGTAAACGGCAGTGGAGGCATTCTTTACAGCTGTTGTACAGGCAGTGGGAACCTCTGATGAAGCAGCCATCTCTGAACACTATGAGGAACTGGTGTCAAAGCAGGATTACTCTGAGGTTCCCTTACAGGCTGGGATTGGGTGGTCCAGTGAGATTAAAGGCCTGATGCTACTTGGTTTCCACTGCAGGAATGATGGGACCCCCTCCTGGCATGAGACCACCAATGGGCCCTCCGATGGGCATGCCCCCAGGCCGAGGCTCACCAATGGGCATGCCACCACCTGGGATGCGGCCGCCGCCTCCTGGGATGCGAGGTGAGTCACCGCCACTGACCTTGGAAGTCTTTTTCCCCCTCAAGCATGTCTCTCCTGTCACTTTAGCTTTGTAGTTCACTGTAGCCTCTTTTGTGTCACTGTATCTTTGTAGGTCAACTGATGGTGCCTTTCCTTTGTTTTTATTTTTTTTTCCAGGTCCCCCTCCTCCTGGCATGCGCCCACCCAGGCCCTGAAATTCGGTTGGAAGGTGCTGTTTGCAGGAGTTGGAGTTCTCAATCTGTTTCGTTCAGCTCAAGATAGGGGGAGTGATGAGCGGGTGGGGGATTGCCTGCGTGCATGTTTTCTATAGCTTGGTTGTTGTATTGCCCTTTATAATAAAGACTAGGATATTTTTTTTGGTTATTGTTGCTGTGATCATTTTATTCTGAGTTTGTGAAAGCCCAGCAAGAAAGATGTTACTCACTTTAGTATACATGCCTGCCCTGTCTTGTGGAGGCAGGATCCTCTCTTTCCGGAGACAGATAAACAACACAGGAAAGGGCAGGCAAGCTGTTGGATCTGATTTGGAGATCAACCTGAGTACAACTGCAGCCAAATCCACTCCCCCTTTTCCTTCCGCTTTCAGTTGGGAAAGCAATGGGGTAGGTTCACAGCTACCTAGGCCGCTCCCACCCACTGCTGCAGTAACCAGGCTGGGATGTCATCTGCAGGGAGGCACCAGTGTCCTAGCCACTGGAAATGAACAGGTAGGGGAAGGCTGGTTTCCCATGTCGCCTCTTCCCAGTCTTATGACAAAAGGCTTCTACCTTTTCCAACTACAGAGCCCCGGGTAGGTTTCTTTCAGTATCTCCAAAGGTCTCAGATGCTGCAGGTCTGCTCAGCCCAGCATGAAACTGCAGTGCGCTTGTTGCCTTTTGGAAACTGCCTGTGGTTGATATTTATTCCCCATTTTGACACTCAAACGGAGTTGCAAGAGTTATGGACAGTCTCTTTCTGAGTCACTGCACAAGGTTTCCTTCAGCTCCTGTTCTAGAAAAGTGGAAGTCAACTGACGATCAAAGGAAATGAATCCTCTGTAACCTTAGGTTATCAAGGGTGGAGTCTTCAGTTGGAAGTTAGTATGGTTTTATCTTTTTCAATGTTTTTTTTAATTTGTTTCTAAGAGATACGTCCTTTTTGATGCTCACTGGTTTTTTGAACATTGTAATTAACTATTTGTAGTTTGCATATTCTAGTATTGTTAATGGCCTTAGGTCCTTCTCTTGGAAGAAAAAGGTATGTGTTAAATAAATTACAGATGATATGCACTACCAACACTAGAAGGACAAACAACTAACCCTTCCCTTCACCAACAAATCAAGAACCTTTTATTTTTCCCCATGTTCCAATACGTGCCTTAGAGATGGCAGCAGCATGGGAGAGCGTCCACGTGAGAGGGTCTGGGCTTCTTTTGCAAAACTTTGTTGTTGTTGTTTAGTCATTTAGTCGTGTCCCACTCTTCGTAACCCCACAGACCACAGCACGCCAGGCCCTCCTGTCTTCCACTGCCTTCTGGAGTTGGATCAAATTCACGTTGGTAGCTTTGATGACACTGTCCATCCATCTCGTCCTCTGTCATCCCCTTCTCCTCTTGACTTCAGACTTTCCCAACATCAGGGGATTTTCCAGGGTGTCTTCTCATGAGATGGCCAAAGTATTGGAGCCTCAGCTTTAGGGTCTGTCCCTCCAGTGAGCACTCAGGGTTGGTTTTCTTCAAAATGGATAGGTTTGTTTTCTTTCCAGTCCAGGGGACTCTCAAGAGTCTCCTCCCGCACCAGAGTTCAAAAGCATCAATTCTTCAGCACTCAGCCTTCTTTATGGTCCAGCTGTCACTTCCTGACATCGCTAGTGGAAAAACCATAGCTTCGACTATGCGGACTTTTGTCGGCAAGGTGATGTCTCTGCTTTTTAGGATGCTGTCGAGGTTTGTCATCACTTTCCTCCCAAGAAGCAGGTGTCTTTTAATTTCGTGGCTGCTGTCTCCATCTGCATTGATCATGGAGCCCAAGAAGGTAAAAGTCTGTTACTGCCTCCATACCTTCCCCTTCTATTTGCCATGAGTTGATGGGCCAGTGGCCATGATCTTAGTTTTTTTTAGATTGAGCTTCAGACCATTTTTGTGCTCTCCTCTTTCCCCCTCATTAAGAGGTTATTTTAATTCCTCCTCACTTTCTGCAATCAAAGTTGTATCATCTGCGTATCGGAGGTTGTTGATATTTCTCCCGGCAATCTTAATTCCGGTTTTGGATTCCTCCAGTCCGTCCTTTCACGTGATGTATTCTGCATATAAGTTAAATAAGCAGGGGAACAATATACAGCCTTGTCGTACTCCTTTCCCAATTTTGAAACAATCAGTTGTTCCATATCCAGTTCTAACTATGGCTTCCTGTCCCATGTATAGATTTCTCAGAGATATATACGGTGGTGAGGCACTCCCATTTCTTTAAGGACTTGCCATAGTTTGCTGTGGTCCACACAGTCAAAGGCTTTTACATAGTCAGTGAAGCAGTAGATTGTTTCTAGAACTCTCTGGCTTTCTCCATAATCCAGCGCATGTTAGCAATTTGGTCTCTAGTTCCTCTGCCCCTTCAAAATTCAGCTTGTATTTCTGGGAGTTCTCGATCCACATACTGCTGAAGCTTACCTTGGAGGATTTTGAGCATAACCTTGCTAGCGTGTGAAATGAGTGCAATTGTATGGTAGTTGGAGCATTATTTGGCCCTGCCCTTCTTTGGGATTGGGATGTAGACTGATCTTTTCCAGTCTTCCGACCACTCCGCGGCACTGTTGGGATCCCTGAAGCTATTGGTTTTGGGTGATTTCAACGTGCACGCGGGGGCAGAGGCTTCCGGGCCAGCTCTTGAGTTCTTGGAGACCATGGCCTTCTTGAACATGTCCCAACATGTCAACGGCCCCACCCACATGGGTGGCCACACACTTGACCTGGTTTTTTCCACTAATGGGAGCGAGAGTGGTCCGATGGTGACTGACCTTGAGTTGGTACCATTGTCATGGTCGAACTACCACCTAATAAAATGCACCCTTGAAATGGCTCTCCCCGCTCGCAGGGAGCAGGGATCTATTGTTATGGTCCACCCTCGAAGGCTACTGGATCCAGCTGGTTTCCAGGATGCCATGAAAGGTGTTACGACTGACCTGGCTGGCGCTCCTGTCAAGGCTCTGGTTGACGGCTGGTTCGCCGCCGCAGCTAGGGCTGTAGACACGATCCCACCTAAACGCCCTCTCCAACGCAGAGCCCACTCGGCGCCCTGGTTTAACCAGGATCTCCAGGTGTTGAAGCAGTTTAGGAGACGGCTAGAGCGCAAGTGGAGAAAGGACCCGATGGATTATAATTGGATAGCTGTCAAGGTCACCACTAACCTTTACCTGGCTAAGGTAAAGGCTGCTAGTCGAGCATACTTCGCTAACCGGATAAGCGAAGCGGCCAACCAGCAGGTGGAATTATTCCGTATAGTGCGCGACCTATCCGGAATTGGTCTGAGTGATAGGCCTCCCCCTAGTTTTTCACCGGACCAATTTGCAGCATTTTTTATCAGGGGCTTGGGAGACTCCCTCTCATTTGGGGTGGTCACCCTTGTCGCAAATAGTGGGGTCCGTAGCCTGGGGATCCATCTGGACCCGGCGCTCACCATGGAAACACAGGTGGCGTCGGTGGTCCGCTCCGCCTTTTTGCATCTTTGGCTGATAGCCCGGCTGCGACCTTATCTCGACACGGGGGCACTCACTACCTTGGTGCATGCGCTTGTAATCTCCAGATTAGACCACTGTAACGTGCTCTACGTGGGGCTACCTTTGAGGTTGACGCGGAAACTCCAAGTGGTGCAGAACGCAGCAGCCAGACTCCTTAGTGGAGCGAGAAAATTCCATCATATTTCTCCTATTCTGGACGCGTTGCATTGGCTGCCCACTCGGTTCTGCGCTGACTTCAAAGTTCTGATGCTTACATATAAAGCCCTCAACGGTTTAGGGCCTCGATACCTGGCGGAATGCCTACTCCCACCAAGTTCTACCCGTGTCACTCGTGCGAGCCAGGAGGTGAGGCTGAGGAGCCTGACACCGAGGAAGGCCTGGAAGGAAAAAAACAAAACACCGGGCCTTCTTGGCGGTGGCTCCTCGCCTCTGGAACAACTTGCCTCCTGAGATTCGCGTGGCTCCCTCGCTGGGCATCTTTAAGAAACAACTGAAAACGTGGATGTTCCAGCAGGCCTTCCCTTCAGCCAACCCTAGCTAATTCCTCCCAGTCAATCCCTGATGTTTTCCTCTCCTTTCTTTACTGCGAGTCACTCTGCTTCCCATCTTGCTGTAGCTGTTTATTATATAATAATTCATGTATTTATGTATTTTATGCTGTACGCTGCCTAGAGTGGTCGTAATTGACTAGATAGGCGGGATATAAATACACTAAATAAAGAAATAAATAATTGGTCAGTTTCAACCTCTTCAGCATCGGTGGTTGGTGCATAAAACTTGGATTCCTGTGATGTTGAAAGGTCTACTTTGGATTCCTATTGAAATCATTCTATCATTTTTGAGACTCTTGCATTACATTGTTACAGAGGGGTGTGTGTGGGGGGGGTCAGGATTGCAGCTGGAGATAAACAAATAGTCAAGGAATACCTTACCACCTTGAACGAGTTCAGATCTCTAGGGCTGGATGAACTGCATCCGAGAGGACTGAAGGAACTGGCTGAAGAACTCTCAGAACTGCTATCCATTATTTTCTTGAAATCATGGGAAACGGGGGAGGTGCCAGAGGATTGGAGGAGGGACAATGTTGTCCCTATCTTCAAAAAGGGCAAAAAGAGGCACCTGGGAACTACAGGCCAGTCAGCTTGACATCAATCCTAGGCAAAATCCTGGAGCAGATAATAAAGCAGTCATTCTGCAAGCACCTGGAAAACAATGCAGTAATAACTAGAAAGCAACACGGATTTGTCAAGAACAAATCCTGCCAAACTAATTTGATCTCACTTTTTGATCAAGTAACCTCCCTGATAGACAGAGGGAATGCTGTAGATGTAATATATCTCGACTTCAGTAAATCTTTTGACAAAGTGCCCCATGATATCCTGATTAGAAAGCTACCTAGATATGGACTGGATAGATCAAGTGTCAGATGGATACACAGTTGGCTACAGAATTGTACTCAGAGGGTGATGATTAATGGGTCCTTCTCTAACTGGGAGGTCACAAGTGGGGTACCCCAAGGCTGTCCTGGGCCCAGTGCCCTTTAATATCTTTATTAATAACTACATTATTAATACTGTAATTTTTGGGTGGGGGATGCTTTCGCCAGAAGTTTTAAGTTCTCTATATTCGCGAAGGCTTTCGCAGCCGGGATCTAATGGTTGCTGTGGGTTTTTCGGGCTCTTTTGGCATGTTTTGCGAGTGGCTTCCTAACTGTGTGCTGTCCTTCTGAAGATGCCGGCCACAGAAACTGGCGAAATGTTAGGAAGAACAACCTTCAGAACACGGCCAAAGAGCCCGAAAAACCCACAACAACCATTTTAAGTTCTCATTACCAAATTCAAAATAATCTTTATGCAAATATATTAGATACTTCTGGACCTTTTCCATATGCATCCCTTCTAGTTCCTTCCTTTTAGCTTGTAATTTCACCAGAATCTCCTTTTCTCTAGTTCTTATAATTTCTTTTTCTATCTTCTTAATAGTATCCTAATTTTTGAATCCCCGCCCCCTCCGGTATCTTAATCCTGTGTGCCACTTTTATGGCATAATCTCTGTCCACAGAGTTCATGGCAACCCAAATTATCTTAGCCTTTCCACGTCCTTTCATATTAATTTCCCAAGTCTCTTCTAAATTCTTTTGGAGCCTTTCTATAAGATTTTGATATTGATAAATGACTAGTCCCAAGTTTCTTGTGCACACCCCGACTCTCCCTATATAGAAGAGCCTCATGGTGCCATGGTTGGACTGCAGCACTGCCGCCAAAACTCCACTGCGACCCAAGGTTCAATGCCAGGTAGCCAGCGGCTCAAGGCTGACTCAGCCTCCTATCCTTCCAAGGTCAGTAAACCCAGCTTGCTGTGTGTGTGTGGGGGGGGCAATAACTTGTAAACCACCCAAAGAGTGCTTTCGGTGCTATGAGGTGGTATATAAGCAGCATGCTTTGCTTTTTAGCTTTATACACAACATAAAAAAACCTAACATTACTACACCTAAAAAAATGATTATCCCTCACTTTCACCACCCCTTACAATTATTTGCCTTTGACCCTCCTCTACTGAATTACAAGAGTGTGTGGAGCATGAATATTCCCTGGTAAGCTTGGCCTGTGAGTCTTCTGAGGTCCTTGAAGGCTCAGGAACGTGGCACGTGGCTCTTCCTGAACTTGCTCAAGCAAGAGAGGACAAACAGGTGGAGGCTAAGCCCAGGAAAACCCGCCAGGGACCAAGAGGAAGCTTCTCATATCCTTGGGCTCCCTGGATGCACAGACTTCTTTTATGAGTTGGCAGGGTTGTCAAACAACTCAGCAACAACATTCCCTCTAATTTTCTGTCCCACTGTGCAGGAGTCTCACTCTGCGAGTGTGGGGTTCATTCAAAACAGGGAGTAAACAAGCTGGTTGCCTATGCGCAACCTCGACAGAGCGCTGGGCAAGCTTAGAGAAAACATGGCTCACTGAGTCGGGACATTTATTTTGGACCCATTGGTTTGGTTTCAAGCAAAAGGCTGAATTCCATAACAAGGTGAGCAGACACAGCAATGTGGGAGCAAGAGAAAAACAAAGTTTTCCAGAGTGATGGTAATGATGCTCCAAGCTTTTCCTTAGAAACAAAGGCTGGCACAAAACTGCAAAATACTCTGGAAGCAAGAGAGCACACTGTGAATGGATCTCCCTGAATGGGAAGCTTGGACAAAGGGGAGGAGTGGCCGTGAGAGCCAAGCCCCCGGCTGTCTCGTTTTCCTGCTGTCTCATCGCGTGGGCTCCCCTCTCTGGGTCCTGAAGGCACTGACGAGGCTGCCAAGCCATCCTTGGCATCCGAAAGTAAGGTCCTCAAGCGAAGGCCAGTGGACGTCTGGCAGGGCCTGCTCCCCTCATTTCCTCTTGTACCTGAACCGGGAAAACAAAGGATCCCATCAACCGCTCAGGGGCGCTGCCCACAAGGGGAGAACCACCCACAGAGGGAGAGGGAATGAGAGAGAGAGAAAGAGCCGACTCACCGGGACCTTCCTTTGAAGCTTCCGCCTTTCCTCCGGGCCAGGCCCAGGCGCTTCCGGTCTTCAAAAGAGGGCCTGTAGAAGAGAGCTGTCAGTTCACCTGCCAGCCAGGTGAGTCCTGGGAGCTTGGTCCCTCAGGGGAAGGGGGAAACCCGTATGCCTCCTTCCTTCAGGAAGAACGCGCTCTTTCACCCCCAGAGAGACTCTGGCAAGGGCTCCCCCCCAACCCTTGGCAGCCCCTTCTTCCAGGGGCCGCAAGGACCTGGAAGTTGGACCGGGTGGGAGGGGCTGTTCCCAAGCCCCCTCTCAACACTCACCCGGCACGGTACTGTTTGAGGGCCTTCCTGTTTGTGTTGGTGAGCTCCTGATCAAACACCGAAGATTTCTTCTTGCGCGTCTGTTTGGGCCCTTCAATGACAGAGAGGAGCTGCTCTGAAGCCAGGGCCGCTGCGATGGCTGCAGGGCCCCAGCCAGGAGGAGGAGGAGGAGGAGGAAAAGCTGGCCTCCCGGGGTTACACCTGAGCGGCACCTTGTCAGACACCACCCAAGAGATAAGGCAAACCAACCGTCCTCCTACCTCCTGCCGAAGAGTCCTCCTCCGGCATGGCCCGGGCTCGCTTGGGGCGGCGGTTCCGCTTCGCCAGGCGCTCGGCGTACATCTGAGCCTTCAGGATCTCGAACTGGGACCGCTCCTCCGGCTGCCAAGGTAACACATCCAAAATCAGCCAGATCCCTCTGTTCCCTTTCCAGGCCCACCACACTGCCCATCATGCTGTTCCACCCACCACAGGGTTAGCTGGGGGTATCCCTTCGGGCAGCGGCTCACCGTCATCTGGGCCTTCTTCTGAGAGTTTGTCATGAACTTCTTCCTCTTTTTCTTGCCACGCAGAGCAAGGTCAAACTCCTGAAGGGCCTTGGTCACTGAAGCAGACGAAAGGGGGAAGAAGAAGAAGAAGAAGAGATGAGGGATGAACCTCTGGTGCCAGAGGCCTTGATCACTGCCTGTCCCCTCCTGTCAGGGTCCTTACGCTTCTCTTTCCTCCTCTCCTCCTGACTCTGGAACCAGCTGCGGGGAGCATCCTGTGTTGCCTCCTGAGCCCCTCCGGCCTCCAGTTTCCGCCTGGCTGTATTGATCTGCAAAGAGAGCAATGCAGGCTAATGCAGGGGAGAGCACCCTTTGAGGCACAGCCCTTGACTCTCTGGAAGACGCGCGGGCCTCCGGACGCCAGTGCTTACCCGGCCACCACTCGCAGGTTGCACCACCAACACACACACGACCCAAGTAACTCCTCAGCCACAGAATGATAGAAGGATAGATTTGGAAGGGGCCCTAAGGCCATGAGGTCCAACCCCCTGCTCAAGGCAGGAATCAAACAGACTCAAAGCAGATCTGTCTCATGGTTGTCCAATTTTCTCTTAACTGTCTCCAGCTTTGGAGTTCTCACCATCTCCTGAGCTCATGGGTCCCGCTCTTATACTGCTCTAACAGTTAGGAAGTTTTTCCACATATTTAGCAAAAATCTAGCTTCCTTGAGCCCATTATTACATGTTCTGCACTCTGGGATGATCGTGAACAGTTTCTGCCCCATCACACAAACCATACTGCATCCCAGTTATGGGAGAAAGCGACTGTGTAAATAAATCAAGTAAAATGAAGTAAGCTCTCCACCCTTGCTTTACATCGGAGTATCCAAACTTTTCAGAGGGCCACATATTTGCAATATTTTTAAGGGCTGAAGGAACACGTGCATACACGCACATACTCCTGCCCACCCACCCGCCTGCATGCATGGAGGGGCCACATAGAAAGGCCAGGCATGCGGGATGTGGCCTGTGAGCCGTACTTTGGAGACCCCCTCCTTCGCATCAAAGTTATTTTGGGTGGAGACGTGCAAAAATCTTCACCTTGTGAATCCCCTGTACATGTTCTCTGTCATCCTACTCAATTTTTAATAAACTGGTTTTAACCAAAAGAAAGCAACCGCTTCGCACCAGGAAGTGACTTTGGTTGCTCAAAATCCTCTCTCTGAAAAAGGCATTTTGTAAAGATTCCCCAGTGAATGGCTCACTTCCATTTCAGTTTGTGTGCTGGCATGTGTATACGTGTGTGTGTGTGTGTGTGTGTGTGTGTGTGTGTGTGTGTGTGTGTGTGAGAGAGAGAGAGAGAGAGAGAGAGAGAGAGAGAGAG